TGTAAAGAATCTTAATCTCCCCTCCATCTATTATGGTTCTGCCAATTGGTCCAGTGGTGAGAATCTTTGTCTTCTTGATGTTGATCTGCAATCTATATTGAAGACTGCAATTGTTGACCTTCTGTATCAAATGCTTTAGGAAGGAATTGACAAATAATAAAGCCCCAGGAACTGATAGAAGACCAATTTACATATTTCAACAAACAGATTTTTCCCTGGATCTGCTCACCAAACTGTGCCAGGAAATCTGGAGGGCAACCACCTGGCCAACTGACTGGAAAAGATTAATTTTTATTTCCATCCCCCCCAAAAAGATGATCCAACAGGATGTAGAAATTATTGAACAATATCACTAATATCACATACTAGGAAAATCCTGCTGAAGATTATCCAAAGATGAATGGAACAATGAATTGACAGAGAACTGCCAGGAATACAAGCTTTCTAAAGTCTCATTCAAGAGCAATGAGAATGAGACTTTAGGAAGCATTAAGAGAAGTGTCTGGATGGTTGAAATGGATATCATAGCACTCAGCTTCTTCAACAAAGACTTCGATGATGCGTAAAAAAAAAAAAAGAAAAAAGGCAAAAAAAGATACACACAACAAAATCAACCAAAAAGTCAAAAGTCCTAAACCTACTGTCAGTGAGTTGTTTCACACAACTCTCTCCTGGTCTAAGGTTGTAAATCATAAGTGGAAGAAACTGCTATTTCTCTCTCATGTAACCACTAGTAGATTTGAATTGCTAGAGATGGCAGTGCTTTTGCCATAGGCTATGCCATCAAAATCTGCATAATGCAAGAGCCTATGGTGATGAAGGAAGAAGTTCAAGCTACTTTGAAGGAAATAGCAAAAAATAAGGTCCCAAGAATAGATGGTATACCAATTGAAGTATTCCAGATAACAGATGTTGCCCTGGATGTGCTCACCAAGTTGTGCCAAGAAATCTGGAGAAACAACCATTCGGCGAACTGACTGGAAGAGATCTATGTTTGTTCCCATTCCAAAGAAGGGTGACCCAACAGAGTGTGGAAACTACAGAACAATATCATTGATTTCACACGCAAGCAAGATTCCACTGAAAATTATCCAAAACCGACTAGAACAGCACATCAGCAGAGAACTGCCAAAAGTCCAGGCTGGGTTTAGAAGGGGTCATGGTACTAGGGATATTGAAGCTGATGTTAGATGGATCTTGGCTGAAAGCAGGGAATACCAGAAGAATGTCTATCTGTGTTTCATTGATTATGCAAAGGCGTTTGACTGTGTGGAGCATAACAGACTGTGGCTGACTCTGAGAAGAATGGGAATCCTAGAACACTTGATTGTGTTAATGTGAAACCTATACTTGGACCAAGAGGCAGTCAGAACAGAGCAAGGAAACACTGCATGGTTCAAAATTGAGAAAGGCATATGCCAGGGATGTGTCCTATCTCCATACCGTTTCAACCTGTATGCAGAGCAGATTATCTGAGAGGCTGGGCTCTATGAGGAGAAGTGTGGCATCAGGATTGGTGGAAGATCTATTAACAATCTCTGTTATGCAGGTGACACAATCCTGCTTGCTGAAACTGAGGCGGACATGAAATGCTTGCTGCAGAGGGTCAAGGACTGCAGACTTCAGTATGGATTGAAGCTCAATGTCAAGAAGAAAAAGATTCACCACTGGACCAATTGGCAGCATCAGGATGGATGGTGAAGAGATTGAGATTGTTAACAACTTTAGTCTGCTTGACTCCACGGTCAACACTCTTCATACCAGTAGCCAGGAAATTAAAAAAAATTTATTGCGATTGGAAAGTCTGCTGTTAGGGACCTATCCAGGGTACTGAAGAGCAATGGTGTCATTCTGGAGACTAAGGTGCACCTGATACAGGCTATGGTCTTTGCAATCACTTGTTATGCATCAGAGAGTTGGATGATGACTAAGGAGGATAGGAGAATTGGTGCCTTTGAGCTGTGGTGCTGGAGAAGAATATTGAATGTACCCTGGACTGCCAAGAAAACAAACAGCTTCAACCTGGAGAGGGTTAAACCAGGCTGCTCCTTGGAGGCAAGGATTCTGAGGCTTTATCTGACATACTTTAAACATGTTGTATGGAGGGAGAGGTCCTTGGAGAGGGACATCATGGTTGGGAGGGTGGAGGAATGGCGCTGAAGGGGAAGACCCTCTATGAGGTGGATTGATTCAGTGACTGGGGTAATCTAGATGGATGTGTCAGAGGCAGTGCAATTGGCACAGGATAGAGCAGGGTTTAGGGCTGTTGTACATAGATAGGATCACTATGAGTCGCAAGCGACTCAATGGCACATAGCAACAACAATAACATTCAAGAGCAAAGTCTAACAAGTCACTGTTGAATACCAGCATTTCTATGTAGGTTTGGCAGTGTTTACAGGTCACCATGGGGAAAACAATAAGCTAAACCTTTCCACAATATTCCTCCAACTTTCCTAGATGTCTCTTGGCAAGATAGGAGTGGAAGAATGAACTCCTATCACTTGTTCATGTTCTTCTACTTCTAGTTTGCTTGGAACTTCCTTTAAATTACAATCTCCATCCTTTTTTATATTATGGTTTTAGCAAAATTCTATCTATTAAGTGCCACAAATTGAACTCTTACTATATAAATGGAAAGGTAGAGGTCAGTAAAAAAGAGAAAGGCAGTCAAGAAGATGGATTGACAGAGTCGCTGTACCAAGAGGCACAGCAAATATTGTGAAGATGTGTTAAGACTGGTCAATGTTTTATTCTCTTAAACTTGAAATCTCTATGAGTAAGGACCAACAACAATATCTTAGACTTACTGAATCAGAAAACCTAGAATGGAGTCTAACAGTGTATGTCTTAACAAACCTTCCAGGTAATGCTAAGTATGCTCAAATTTCAGAGTTATAACTCTAAATGATAGAACTGTTCCTTTGATTACCAAATACCATTAATTAAGTAGGTGAGAGTTACAAAGGAGCGTTACTTAGTGGGAATAAAAAGTGTATAGACTTACTTGCAAAGTAATATACCTATAAAACAAACCAGAAAAAAAAAATCTGCTCCACTTCAAAGGTTCTGTCCCTGTGATTCAGACTTAACGGAAACAAGTAATACCAAAGCAGGAGTGTTACATGATTATCAAGTGTACTGAAAACAAGGCACTAGGAGCATATTGATTTTTCAAGAAAAATAGGTCATGATGAATATTTAGTACTTAATCAGAGCTTCTGATCTTTAGATCATTGGATACCTCCCCACTGCCTTACTTCTATTTATTCTATCCAATTAGCCAATCTTCTGGCCCTTGTAACTAAGACCAGTCATCCTGGATCTTGTCACCTATAAAACTGTGAAGTTCAGCACCTAGTAAATAATGTAATAACTTCTACTAAACTTTCATTAACCTCTTGACTATTTTGGCCCTCTGAACAACAAATATTCTTCATAAACTTTCTAAAAATATTAATAGTATATAGTTGTGACTCTGTTCACTTAGCAATAGGCAATCTCCTCATATACAAGAGAATCAGTAAAGATAAAATTCTCAATTAAGTATCAAATGTCAACACAAAAATCATTCCTTTTTTTTCAACCTAAACATTCTTACAGCACATAACAACAACAACAACAAAAAACATTCTTACATAAATATCCCATTTCTCAATCTTATTTATACTTGTATTAGGTGATCTGAATACTCTAAAACAGAAATTCTTCTAAATAAGATGAACAGTTGAGGAAATAGTGTAAATTATATGATGACAAAGATTTTTATTTGTATCTGTCTTTCATATACTATTTCATCCTCTAGTCAAAATTTTAATCTAAAACTATAATGGGTCAAGAGAAATACTTTGTTCTTTACTCACAAAATTATCTCATATCTAATATGCAGTGCTTCAGTACTGCTAAAGTCAATGATGTGAAAATTATTCTTAAATTTAAACTTGTTGATGTTGCTGTATTGTTGCATACCACAGAGTCAGAACTCACCCAGAGCTGACCCTCTGGAGGGTTTTCAGAAGCAGTTAATTGCACAGGAAGAGATTGTCTCTACTTCTTCTGTGGAGTGGCTGTTGTCCTCGAACTGCGTGCCTTCAGGGTTGCAGCATAGATTCTTGCTACTAATCCACCAGAGCTCCCTAATTTAAACTAGTACAATGTAATTTGGGAAGACAAAATTCTCAATTACTTTCTTCTCAAAAGCTAGGTTAGCATTTGAATCATAGGAGTTCCTCAAAGAATGATTTCAAAATGCTCTAGAATCCTTTTTAAGGTGAATAAAATTTATTCCTGTAAACATTAAGGAATCTGTATAGTCTCAGAAAATCTGCTGGAAGTTCAGCTATGAGTAGATTCTCAGTTGGTGGCAATAAGTTTGAGTTTTGAAATGTTAATATCTTGAAAATACATAAAGAAACAAAAGAATGTTTCTGGGATTTAATGTAAAATTAATTCTTTAAAAAGAATGTTTTAATGAAAAAGAGAAATTAACTGAATATTTTAAACATTAATTTTTTCTTTAGTATGGTGTTCATCATTTTAATATGCAAATGTAATAATATTAATAAGTTACATTTATAGTGGTATACTTCTGTTGGACTATGTCCATCATTACTTTTTTCTTTTCCTTGTTTACTATAGTGGTATACTTCTGTACAGTAACTAGTTTGTGAATGCAAAATATTAATGCCTTTTATTCATTATGCTAAGCTGTATAGCTAGTTTTTATTTTATCTGAAACTTTGATTTCCAGCCCCCCCAAGTTATATCTTCAGATACTGTCTTCCACTTTACTATTGAAGATAGAACAAACCTAATATAACATTAATAACATTTTTATTAGACCTCCACAACAAATGTGTTCTTTTAATTATTTAACAAAAGGATTCTTATTAGAATTCAGTGCTATGATTACCATATTAGTATTCTGAGTCAATGCATTCTAAGCTGTTTTGGACTTTTAAAACTAAATTACTTTTATTTTACTTCGTTTTATTTTATAGAGCTCAACTTCTTAGTTATGGCGTGCCTCTAAACTTGACCAGGTATCTCCATGAGGAAAGAGATTTCTCACCATGGCAGAGAGTCATTTCAGCGGTAACATATATCATAAGTATGTTTGAAGATGATGAAGAGATATATCCTATGATTCAGGTAACCCTGATGATAAACTATCTTATGAAAGTAAATGTTTATCCATGTATAGAATAAAGAGATTTTTGGAGGAAATATGCATATCTACCTGCTAAGTGAAATCAAAGGAAATAGCAATGGTTCAACTAATATAAGCAAAAGATGTTATCTTTTATTTTTTTTTCAGCATGTAGTTTATCAATGCAATCATTTCTCGTTTATCAGCATGGGTAGATTCCAAAGACCAGGTTATTATGTAAAATTGGACATTTGATGGCGAGCTCTGGTGGCCTAGTGGCAAGAAGCTGCACTGCAATCTCAGAGATGTTGTTGTTGTTATGTGCCATTGGTCAAGTCGCTTGCGACTCATAGCAACCCTGTGTACAACAGCCCTAAACTCCGCTCTGTCCTGTGCCAATCGCACTGTCTCTGACACTCCCATCCCAATTTTCCCAGTCACTGAATCAATCCACCTCATAGAGGGCCTTCCTCTCCTGCGCCGTCCCTCCACCCTCCCAAGCATCGTGTCCCTCTCTAAGGACCAGTCTCTCCTCACAACATGTCCAAAAGTATGTTAGATGGAATCTCAGAATCTTTGCCTCCAAGGAGCCACCCGGTTTAACCCTTTCCAGGATGAATCCGTTTGTTTTCCTAGCAGTCCATGGTACCCTCAATACTCTTCCCCAGCACCACAGCTCAAAGGCATCAATTCTCCTTCTATCCTCCTTGGTCATTGTCCAACTCTCTGATTCATAACAAGTGATTGCGAAGATCATGGCCTGTATCAGACGCACCTTAGTCTCCAGAGAGACACCATTGCTCTTCAGTACTTTGGAGAGGTCCCTAACAGCAGACTTTCCCATGGCAATGTGCCTTTTAATTTCCTGGCTGCTGGTGCCAAGACTGCTGACTATGGAGCCAAGCAAACTAAAGCTGTGTACAATCTCAATCTCTTCACCATCCATCCCGGTTCAAATCCACCAGATGCTCTGCTGGAATAGGAAGAACAATCTCCTCCTGTATCAGTCAGATCTGATTTGACGATACACACAAAAAATAATGAAATAAAATAATTTTTTTTTAAAAATTGGACATTTGAAATGAGGAAGATGACCACATTAGATCACAAAATTCCATGGTAGAAAATCAGGAAAGTTGTGTTTTAACTTTGTATTCTTTCTTCTTACCTATTTAGTCTGTATACTGAGATAATAATTTGAGAAATAGACTCTATTAAAGAGTGTGATATCAAAATAAAGGAAGATTAATCAACATCTGAGGACAACACAACCTGACTTACAGAAAAGGAATAACATTTTAAGTACTACAGATTACATGTCAACATCAAGTAAACAAAAATCCTTACCACTGGGGTAATAGGCATCATCATGATAGAAAGAGAAAGATTAAAGTTGCAAACAGCTCCATTTTACTTAGTTCCTTAATCAACATCCATGGTAGCGGCAGTCAAGATACCAAAAGACAAGCATTTGGTGTCTGTCAGGGACACCAAAATATGCTCTCAAGGACCTCTACAAAATTCTACAGGGCAGTCATACGAGCTTAAAGACTCAAGTGTGTCTGGTCCAAGCCATAGTATTTTAAATTGTTTTCTATGCATCTGAAGTGGGACAATGAAAAATAACACAAAGACAATTGATGCCTTTGAATTGTGATGTTGATGAAGAGTACTGAATATATAGTAGAGTGACAAAAGAACACACAAAACCAAACAAATCTGTCTTGTAGGAAATGAAACCAAGGTGCTCCTTAGAGGCAAAGATGGTAAAACTTACTTTAGGCATATTTTCGGGAGGACCTAGTCCTTGGAGAGACATAATGTTGGTAAAGGTAGAGGATAAGAAAGAGAGGTACACCCTTAACAAGTTGGATTGACATAGTGACTATCTCAATGAGATTAAGCATGACTGAGATTGTGAGGATGGTGCAGGATAGAATCAGGTTCATACCTGTTGTTCAAAAGATCACTCTGAGTTGTATTGAACTCAATAGTACCTAGCAATAACAGCACGGCATTGAATAATCATCAAATTATATTGTTACATAACTACCATACTACTGAGAATCATGGCTCAGTAAAGTTGGCATATAAGTCAGCACCATTCTCACCTTCCACTTCAATATTCATTATTGCTAGACATACATTTTTAATGCACAAAATAGTCAGAGAGTAGGACTTTTTAAAAATACTATTATGTTGTTGTTATGTGCTGTCGAGTCTCCTGGGACTCACAGCAACCCTATGTACAACAGCCTTAAACTCTGCTCTAGCCTGTGCCATCTTATTGTCTCTGTCACACCTACCCCCATCACCTCAGTCACTGAATCAATCCATCTCATCGACAGTCTTTCTCTCTTGCACTGTCGCTCCGCTCTTCCAAGCATGACGTCCCTCTCCAAGAACTGGTCCCTCCTTGAAACATATCCAAAGTATGCCACACAAAGCTTCAGAAACCTTGCCTGGAAGGAGCAGCGTGGTCTCACCCTCTTCAGAACAAACCTGTTTGTTTTCTTGGCAATCCATGGTATATTCAACACTCTTCTCCAGCATCACAGCTCGAAGGCATCAATTCTCCTATCATCCCTAGCTATTGTCCAGCTTTCTGACACATAATAAGTAGTTGCAAAGACTATGGACTGAATCAGGTGCACCTTAGCCTCCAGACTGACATCATTAATACAATATATTATTAATATATATTATAAGTTAATATAATGCTTTACAGTCAATGCAAAATGCCAGAAAATGGTATAGTCAGTAAGTGGGGGTAAGTGTACTTGTGCTTTAGTGTACCACATAATGATATATTAAGAGTCACTAGGAATTACTAATATTTTCTTTAAAACAGAGAGATTTAAACTATAGCTATTAACTATAATAGCTCAAGGCCACAAGCTGCTCCATGGGAGAAGGATAGACAATTTCCTCCCATGTAATTAACTGCCTCTGAAAACCCACCAGAGGATCAGCTATGGGTCACTTCCAACTCTATGGTACACAACAACAACAAAGTTAAAATGAACTGTTTTTTACACAAGTATTTTTTTTATGTTTACCCCGTTGGCTTTACAGTAAGACATTTTAAAAGCTAAGTTTCTGTTTACTAAGTGAGAGGGCTTGGAAAGATGATTTAACATTGTAATTATTAATAAAAATCTTTATAAAACAGAAATATTAGCACTTGCCTACCTATCTTGCATACATGTTAGTTGCTATTTCTATTTTATCAATACCTAAACCACCTTCTTAGTGCAGAAAGTATTTTACGTGTTATTCTTTTATGTATGTTAACTAAAAAAATGAAGTTTTAAAAAGTGGACTTACCAATGGTTTTATAAAATATTGGTAATAAAAAAAAAGGTTAACAATAATTTACTACTTCAATATTGTAACAAAATTTCAGTTAATGAAAATGAACGTCTCTTTCCTAAAATATATTCAAAATACTCTGAAGTAAATAACAAATAAATAACAAGGGATTTAAGGGACATCTCCAGAGTACTGAAGAGCAACGATGTCAGTATGAGGACTAAGGTGCACCTGATCCAGCAGGACATGGTCTTTGCAATTAGATGCTGTGCATCAGACAGCTGTTCGATGACTAGGGATGATAGAAGGAAAATTGATGCCTTTGACGATGGTACTGGAGAAGAGTACATATATGTTGTTGTTGTTAGGTGCCATCGAGTTGTAGACAACTCCTAGTGACCCTATGAATGGAAAACCTGAGCATTGAGAGTATATATGTGTGTATATATATATATATACACACACGAGATATATATATACACACGGGATGTGTATATATACACACACGAGATATATATATATATATACACACGAGATTTATATATAGATATATACATACACACACTAGATAGATAGATACACACACATACATACACACACCATATATATACACACACACACACACACACACACACACACACACATACATACCATGGACTGCTACAAACAGATTTGTCCTGGAGAGGATGAAACCAGGCTACTTCTTGGAGGCAAGGATTCAGAAGCTCTGTCTGACTTATTTTGGGCATATTGCAAGGAGGGACCAGTCCTTGGAGAGGAACATTATGCTTGGTAGGGTGGAGGGACAGCACGACAGTGGAAGGCCCTGGATGAGATGGATTAACTCAGTAACTGGAGTAATGGGAGTAAGTGTGTCAGAGACAATGAGATTGGCACAGGATAGAGCTGGGTTCAGAGCTGTTGTACATAGGGTCGCTATCAGTCACAGGCAACTTGATGGCACATAACAACAATAACATTAGTTACAATAAATGGTAATACAATTGATAATTGGTAAGTTATTACTTATTTTACATGTGGTTTTATTTTTCCTTTTTCTCTTTCAGAAATATCTACTACGTCAAGTGAAGCCTATTGCTGATATTCTGGGATGGAATGATAGTGGAACTCACATAACAAAGTTATTGTCTTTCTAAAACTAGTCTACATTTAACATTTTTTATATGTCTGGAAAACATTCACAGTCTAAACTTTATGCTTGTTTTTTTTTATTTTATAAGGTTACTCCGTACGTCTGTTCTAGGACTCGCGTGCAAGATGGGAGACAGAGATGCTTTGAACAATGCTTCCCAATTATTTGAGGAATGGCTAAAAGGAAACGTAAGGTGATTATGTTTTCGTTCACTGTGATTTCTTCCATCTATAGATCTTAAGTGGGAGAAACAAATAAATGGGGTCTCTGAAATGCTGTTTCTCTTTGTAGTCTTCCTGTAAATCTTAGACTTCTAGTATATCGGTATGGAATGCAAAATTCAGGCAATGAGACCTCATGGAATTACACTCTTCAGAGATATGAGGCGACATCACTGGCTCAAGAAAAGGAAAAACTGCTCTATGGATTAGCATCAGTGAAGAATGTTACTCTTTTGTCAAGGTAAGTTGGATCTTTTATTTCACTTTACTGTTGTTGTGTGACATCAAGTTTGTTCTAAATCCTAGTAATTCTGTAAATCGTCGTATTTCTTCGGCTTTACTATCTATGGGAGCATATCATTAAGGTTTTTTTCCCCCAGGATGTGGGTGATGAACCATGAACCTTTTGATTAACAGTCAAGCATTTAACCGTTGCAACACCATGACTCCTTTCATTTCACATACAAAAATCATATTTATGTGTCGTATGTCTTTAAAATCAATTCCATTGAGGCTATTGCAACTCATGGTGAGCCCATGTGTGCCAGAGAGGAACGGTGCTCAATAGAGTTGATTTTTCAGAAACAGATTGTTGAGTTTTTCTACACAGATACCTCAGAGCAGACTCAGATGTCTATCGTTTTTGTTAGCAGTTGTATTTGTTAACTATTTGCATCTCTCAAAGACTCTCTTTAAGATAAGTTAAAGCATGATATCTGCTTTTTAGAAATAAAATAAAGCCATTAGAAGAGCTCCAGCGGCTTTATGGGAAAAGGATGAGCAATCTCCTCTCGTGCCATTTACTGCCTCTGAGAACTCGCTGGATGGCCAGCTATGGGTTAATTCCAACTTGAGGGCACACAACCACCACCTTAGAAATGTATACTTTCACACCATTGTTCACTGCAGTTTAATTTACAATAGTGGTGGAAACAACCGAAATGTCAACAGTTGAATGGATAGACAAAAGGTGATCTATGCATACAAGGAAATACTATTCAGCTATAGAGAAATAATGTTCTGAGACATACTATGATGTGGATGAACCCTCAAAACACCATTCCTATTAGCTGCTGTGAAGTCAATTTTCCAATGGTCTGCAACCATATCCTCTCCACCAGCTTCAGATTTTCAACCTTAGAGCACAAATAAGCTGTTTTCACTTTTATCCCTTCCTTAGGTTATCCTCCTCAGTCCTTGATTTAGTAGCTTTTCTCTGCATTTGTTACAATATATTATATTCTTTCTGTCCCTTTTAGTTAGCCACCTTTTACTTTACTAGTTAATAATTCTTCCTATTAAGTTTTCTGAGTCCAAATTATTAGAATGATTCTTATTTGACTCAACACTGACTGATACAAAATTAGTATCAGAAATGGCTCCCAAAGAATGCAGCCCAAAGATGAAATCTCAGCAGTGATTTAGCCATGTCCTTGGCCTTGAATGTAGTGCTGAGTTCCAGGAAAATGATTTCTAGCCAGGGTTGATGCTTCCAACCCCTGGCATGCATTGGCATCATAATTAATCAGTTGGTATTGTGACACATTTTAAATATCTAGTGCCTTTTAGTCCATTCTTGGCCTAGATTGCTCCCAGCTGGCCAGTAGACATACCCTGCAGTTATTTTCTTACTCTTAAATATGTAATTAGAATACATATTTAATATTCTATACATTTATTATTTAATCCATTGAGATTATGAACTTTTATGAAAAGAAGAGCTAAATAAAAGTGCCTGTCATGAATTCAGTGGCCATGGCGGTGCCATGATAATAAACCAGAGAAGTTCTTTATCCTTCGGGAGATTGTGTGTCATCACTAAAATTTGAAAGACTCAGGCAAAGTAATACTTATTATATTACAATTTAAATAATTTGCATAATAATTGGATACATCTTAGTGAATAACTGGGATATCATAAAACAAAGTACTTTTTATTGAGTAAATGCTATTGATTTTTTAAATTAATGATTAAAATTCTTTATAATGCTTGCAAAATAATTTGTCTTAGGGTCTGTGTTATTTAAATTTCACTAGTCTTCAAAGTTGTTTTATCCTTTAAAAGCAGTCAAATGTATTAGAACATTTTCATTGTCTTCCATCATTTGTTGTATTTCATTAGCTTTGTCAGTTGGTGCCTCATTTGAATGGTTGGAATGAAAACGATGCTTTGTTGAAATTTAGCTGACATTAAGTTTGTTTTGAATCATAGTTATGTTTGACTCCTCTTAGGTATTTGGATTTGCTCAAGAACTCAACTCTTATTAAAAGTCAGGATGTGTTTACAGTCATCCGATATATATCATATAACAGTTATGGGAAGACCATGGCCTGGAATTGGATACAACTCAACTGGGAATATCTAGTCAACAGGTGAGATGACCAGATGACAATTTATTGTTCTCTTTATTTGATTCTATCTGGGGATTTTCTTATTTGTCTCTTTAATGGACCTTCTCTGATATAAATACAATGCCTCTGACATAAACACAATATATGCCATATTAATAGACATAAAGACTCATGGTATTTTCCTCTGAAGAAACAAAACACTCATTAACTTTATGAACAATTCCTTTTCTGTAATTTATTGTTTTCAGTCATCAACTTGATTGTTTCCAGTGATCAAATAGGATTCTGAGATCTAGAAATACAATCAAACTGCATTTTATTTCATTTGATTAAAACAAATTAATACAATCCTGCCTGTTGTACTAGAATCTAGCATAATTCCAGGCACATATTTAGTTCTAAGTTGATGTTTGATGAAAACTAAGTGAGAATTCCTGGGCTTTGGTTTTAATTTGGTTTTTAATTTTTGGTTTTAAGTCTTCTGAGTATGTTAGTTATCTAGTGCTGCTGTAACAGAAATACACCAGTGAATGGCTTGACTCTCTTGCGCTTTTAGAAACTAGATGTCCAAATTCAGGTTACTAGCTATAGGAACAACTTTTCTATGTTAACTCTGAGTTGTGCCTCCCATGCACATTTTTCTGTGGTTTGCTATCTATCTTCTGAGTCTTAGGAAGTTCACAGTTCAAGGACCTAAAGTTCAAATGAAAGGCTTCACACTCAGCTTTTCTTTCCTGGTGGTAAAAGATCCCTTTCTCCCTGCTGACTTCACTCTTTCATCTTTCGAAAGAATCAAGGTCTTGAAGGTCACTAGAAAAACTCACTTTACATCAAATCAAGGATGGGCCCTGATTAAGGCACCCTACCCTTATCTCCTTACAACTGATTGGTTGATCACATCACTTTCCAAGCTATATTATTATGTAATTGCCAAACCATGGAGAATCATGGCCCAAACAGGTTGACATATATTTTTTTATGGAGGACATAATTCAATCCACAATATTGAGATTTTATGAGTATTACATTTCTTAATAAGATAATTAAACCCTAGATATCTTAGAAAGCACTTAAAAATGACCTGTATTTCTTCTAATTAATAGTCTTAACAAGGAACAAGAACAAAATCAAGGGAATTCTGATTTTTCTGAAATTCTTTTTTACTCAGCCCTATGGAGAAGAAATGTTGCGTTCTTGTGCCCAGTCTGCCAAATTTAATATTCAGATATCTTTAAAGATGTGTGTCTCTTTGACAGTACTAAATGTCCAAGATAAATGGACAAACATTGACCAAAAAGCCTTTACCTTCTGAAATGTCCACCTACAACATAGCCTCCCTTAGCCCCTCCTGATCTCTTCTGTCTGTCCAGCAGCAGTGTATCCTAGTCCATAATAATGACTGCCTTCTAGAAATTCCAATAGGCATAGCTAACTTGTATTTCTATCTTACTAGAGTGACATTGCATTCATTTACATTTTCTTCCTTCTTTCCCAGATTATATCTCAAACAGTGAATCATTTGTTAACCTATTTGTGATGATTATTTCTAATTTTAAAAGAAAAATTTATAACATTTTAGTTTGCGATGAATTTTTGCTTTGCCACTATTTAGTGCAACTGTTGTCTATCCATCTGTATGAAGATTACTGAGTATGTGTGTACCTGCAAATACATGCTTTTTTCATCTCTTTAGTTTCCATAAAATTGTTGGCTTACAATTAATAAGTTACTTGTTGAGAACATGTTATCTTGTTATAGTAGTTACTATTCATTAATAATCTCTATTTTGAAGGATGTATATTTATGAGATGGATTGTTTCATTGACTAGGGTAATCGGGATGGGTGTGTCAAAGGCAGTGCGATTGGCACAGAATAGAGCAGGGTTTAGGGCTGTTGTACACAGGGTCGCTATGAGTCGCAAATGATTCGACGGCACATAACAACAACAACAACATATTTAATAATGTCTGTTGAGTGTCATAACGAACTTTGGCTGACTCTGAGAAGAATAGGAATCCCAGAACACTTAATCATGCTAATGCGAAACCTATACTTGGACCAAGAGGCAGTAGTCAGAACAGAGCAGGGCAACACTGCATGGTTCAAAATTGGGAAGGGTGTACGCCAGGGATGTGTCCTGTCTCCATACCTTTTCAACCTGTATGCAGAGCAGATTATCCAAGAGGCTGGGCTCTATGAGGAGAAGCGTGGCGTTAGGATTGGTGGACGATCTATCAACAAATCTGCGTTATACAGATGACACAACCTTGCTCGCTGAAACTGAGGAGGACCTCATGCACTTACTGCCGAGGGTCAAGGACTGCAGCCTTCAATATGGACTGAGGCTCAATGTCAAGAAGACAAAAATTCTCACCACTGGACCAATCGGTAGCATCATGATGGATGGCGAAGAGATTGAGATTGTTCACAGCTTCAGTTTGCTCGGCTCCAGGGTCAACACTCTTGGCACCAGTAGCCAGGAAATCAAAAAACATATTGCGATGGGAAAGTCTGCGGTTAGGGACCTCTCCAAAATACTCAAGAGCAACAGTGTCTCTCTGGAGACTAAGGTCTGCCTGATACAGGCCATGGTTTTTGCAATAATCATGTTATGCATCAGAGAGTTGGACAATGACTAGGGAGGATAGAAGGAGAATTGATGCCTTTGAGCTGTGGTGCTGGAGAAGAGTATTGAATGTACCATGGACTGCCAAGAAAACAAACAGATTCATTGTAGAGAGGATTAAACCAGGCTGCTCCTTGGAGGCAAGGATTCTGGGGCTTCGTCTGACATACTTTGGACATGTTGTAAGGAGAGACAGGTCTTTAGAGAGGGACATCATGCTTGGTAGGGTGGAGGGAAGTGCAGGAGGTGGATTGATAAAGTGACTGGGGCACTCGGGATGGGTGTGTCAGAGGCAATGAGATTGGCACAGGATAGAGCACAGTTTAGGGCTGTTGTACATAGGGTCGCTATGAGTCGCCAACGACTCGACGGCACATAACAACAACAACTATTGAGTGTGTTTTTAATCAAAATTATTGTAGACTCTTTTTTAGTATGTGTTACAAGAAGCAATTAGGTGGATAAAATACAATTGTTTTTTAATTATTATGAAAAGACAAAGAAAAAATATACTATTTTACATATTTCAATGCCCACTCTTCTATTACTTATTCAATACTCAGGGACTACTTAATTCTTGAATGATTTATTTAAAGTAATTCATTCTTCACTTTGAAATATGATTGTCTATTTTAAAAAGAAGAAAAATTATGTTACTTTTAAAAACATCTGTCCTAAAATAAATTTATTATACTGAATGAGTTGAAATTTTTTCTAAAATAAAAAATTGATATACTATTTCCTGAGGTAGTTTTAAACACTTAGCCCAAGGCTTTCTTTATTGCTTTACAGCTAATGATCAAATTCTCAAGAGACATTTCAAATGCCCTCAAACATAAAGCCACATAATAACCATATGTCTAACCCACATAAAAAACATCTAATATTAATTATGTTTGGTTGGAATATGTAGAATATCCCCATGAAAACTGGATAAGACAAATTAACCAGAAATGATCCAAGTTCTATCCAAATATTTCCAAACTCTTGTACTTTTGCCAGTTTTAAAATGAGTAGTCTTACTGCCACTATCTCCATACAATAAATTCTAACCCTAAAGAAATAACTCAATTTTCTTCTTTCATCTTTTCACTTGTTTAAAATATAGCTTTCTTCTGTGGTTTTAATGTCCTTGTGAATTTGAGCTTTAACCTCAAAATTCGAAAGATACTACAGAAATAATATTTTTACTTTTGTTTCTTCCATTAAACTCTCAAATGAAATTGTGAAATTGAGTCAATAGCACTGTATCATAAAGTTCAGTTTTACTTTATAGCTATTAATAGCATACTAAATATATACAATATGATTAAAATTATTTAAACAGTAATTCATAAGGGAAATAATTTACTAAGTACTCAAAGTGAGCATCAAAACCATTTCTTTGTGATACCACAAAAATACATATATAAATTATGAATTTAAGTTTAAGAACATAATTTTACAGAGTTACTTTTCAAATAAACCAAAATTAAACACTCACGTTCATTTCAAAAGTAGTCAATATGAGAAATATCCAGTATGGTTTCCCTTATTTTCTACACTCTATGTAATATTCTGGGCTGGGTTTAGAAGGGGTCGTGTTACTAGGGATATTGTTGATGATGTTAGATGGATCTTAGCTGAAAGTAGAGAATACCAGAAGAATGTCTATCTGTGTTCCATTGATTATGCAAAGGCATTTGACTGTGTGGATCATAACAAACTG